GTGTTCTAATAACATTTTACGGTTTTCGTAGTACGATTTGTCGGCTTCACAGTTTTCTCCTGACGGCCGAGTGTACCAAATCGAATATGCTGGGAAAGCGGTGGAAATGAGTGGCACAGTAATTGGTATGCGAGGTAAGGATGGCATTGTTCTAGCGGTGGAGAAAATCGTCACCAGTGCATTGTATGAAGATGATGCTGCTACCAGGATTTTTACAATTGATAAAAACATTGGTATTGCTATTGCTGGTCTTTTGGCGGATGGACGCTATATTATAGATATTGCTCGCCAAGAAGCTGCCAATTTCCGTCAACAATTCGAACGAACTATACCATTAAAACAGTTAACAGAACGCGTATCGGCCTATGTACACGCTTACACCCTATACAGCGCCGTGCGGCCCTTTGGAGTATCTGTCATACTGGCCTCTTGGGATGAGGAACAGGGGCCACAATTGTACAAAATCGATCCATCGGGCACATCATTTGGGTATTTTGCTTGTGCAAGCGGAAAAGCAGAGCAACAGGCTAAAACAGAAATGGAGAAACTAAAATTCGCTGAAATGAGCGTGGACGACTTGGTGCAGAATGCTGGTAGAATGTAAGCAATGGGTTCATTTAAATATCGTTAGTTGAATATAGAAAGACCCTAACTCATTTTATTTCGAAGTTCGAAGTACATCAAAAAATTAGCTTTTGTGCTTACTAAAAACCAGTCTAACGAAAAAACAACTACTGAGGATCTTTAGTTTTTATAATGTTATAAAAGATAACAAAAATGTTAGATAGGGTCTTTCTACATTAGGGTAACGATGTTCATATAAAGAATTAGAAAACTAAATATTAACTGATATTTTTTCTTAAAATTTACAGAATTTACCAAGTGCATGATGAACTGAGAAACAAAGACTTCCATTTCGAAATGAGTTTGGTCAGTAAAGAAACGAAAGGTCTACATCGTTTGAACCCTCAACCATGGTACGATCAAGCGGTCCAAGCGGGTCTAGCAGCCAAGAATGAAGATGATAGTGATAATGAGATATAAAACGTATGCTGTGTACACAATTAATTAATGTATTTGATTTTCCTAAAAACTTAAGTATGGTTTGACCTATTAAATAAAAGTCATCAATAAACCTGAACATGAGTATTTGTATGTATGTACATACATAAGTTTATATGTATTTGGTTTTTGATGTTCATAGATTGATTAGAGTAATTAGAAGCGATTGCATTTTTGTTTGCATGAACACTAATCAATTATGTACGCGTATGCATATGTACATACATATATGTATTTATGTATGCACATAGTTTGTTTACCTGTTCATATGCACATTTATATCTATGTATTATTCACAAGTAAATAATAAATTAAACATATGATCATAACCATTTAATTTAATATTTCTTCAATGTTGATAGATAATATTCAATTTCTTGATTAAACATCAAAATATGTATCAGTTAATAAAATTTTGCAAAACGATGGTGGTTTTCTGCACACACAATTCCACGAAATTTGCTTAGGCGATCGAATTCCAATGTGTTGTGTGGTGGATGCGCTAGAGGCGCAAGATTATTTTCGCGTGTTGCATTTTTGCTGGGGATCAAATCCCAGTTGGAGAATTTTTTTTTTGTTTCTATTTTTTTTAAAGTAATTAAATTTTCCTTTTTTTATTTTATCTTGACCTTTGAGGTATATTTTATAAATTGATTTGTATTTATAAAATATATGTATAAAAATTCCCATAAGAGGTCGGGCAGCATAATATGCTTCTATGAAATTTTAGTTACGGAAAAATATTTCATAGCCACATACCTATATGTATTTGCGAACAATAAAAACTTATTTGTAAATACTTTCAGTTGCATGTACATAATTTTTTCAATGATTTCGATTTTTCTTTTGCCAAATATATTTTTTTTTAAGATAAATATACCAAAAAAGTACTAAAATTGGTCAAAAAACATTTTTAATACATGTACCTAAAAAATGAACAATCTATAGAATATGTAAAATATGCAAATGGTATTGGGCATCAATTAATCGGAATGGTTTTGCATCAAATAATTCCGGTTCTAATTCGCTTTATCGCTCAAAACTTTAGTTTCTTATCATTATAATTGTTTTGCATATAAAAAAGCAAAAATTAAAAAAATAATTAAAAATTGGCAATATTAAGTAAAAATATCAGAATTCCGATTTACTACCCTGCAACACGGAGTATATCAATATACATGTTGCTAGACATTATTTTGTGCCGCTAACAGTGAATTTAACAGAATCAACCACCAAAAAATCTGCAAAAAGTGGATTCCGTGGTTAAAACATTCTAAATCTGTTAAGTTCCGACACTCAATAGTTTCCATTTGTTGTTTGCATCTTCTCAGTAATTATAAGTTCTCTGCATGTAGTCCAAAGGAAATGTTTTGATCATGTCTATAGGCAATTTTTCGAGTTCTGTCATAGTTTTTACGTTATGATGTTCTTTATCACTTCTCTGTCGAAAGTCACAATCTCCTCGATTTGTATTACTTTGATAAGGAAATACTAATCTAAAATCTTTTCTTTCACCTTTTTGAAAACACTTTGTGCAAGAGCTATACCCAGTATGTCCTTTGACGCCTAGTAACATCGCTCTGGCTGGAGCATCACAAATAAATGCTAGGCAAGTTACATTATAAGATTTGCCTTCGTAAACAAAGTTATTTTGTAATAACTCGTTGAGTTCTTCGACAAATTCGCTCAAATATTTATTAACATTTGTTGGATGAGACTTTCCACAAAATATACCAACGACAAAAACCTCTTCTGTACCAGTAACATTGACCAAAATTGGCCACACGCTTCTCTGTGAGCTTTTTGAAATCGGAAGACCGCCAATGTTAAAGTTTAATTCCAACATCAATAATTCCGGCTTACGTATACGCATGAAATCTGTTAGGCTGTCTTTTAGTCCATAGTGCGCATATTCTCCATCCGCCATTTTTACTGTTGGAGGATCTTTCGGTGTGCGTTTCAATGTCCTAACATCCAAAGGTAAAAGCTCCATTTTTCGCTGCAACATTGTAAGCAACTCGTTCCCTGCAGCGTGACTTATATTGTACTTAACAAGCCAAGCGGCTAATGCTTCATTGAACGTGGGCAAAACATTTTCGTCGGATAAGGATAACTCATCATATGCAGGCTCCAATGTTCCACCGATTGGCAAAGCGGGCCCTGGATCGGATTGAATGTTATGTTCAATTTTTTCTCCGCAGACTTCACTACTCATAAGCAAATTTATAATTTCTTTACACTGTCTTTTTTCACGTTTTAAACGCGACATTTCTATCTATTTAATTTTTCTTTTAATAATTATAATTAAAATATATTTTAAAGAAAGTAAACATGTCACTAACAATTGAAAAAATGTTATATTTATAGCTCATGTCGTTGGCATTTGCATTTCATTATACCCGAGCGCACTTGTGCACAAGGGTATATTAATTTTGTTCACATAACGGTTGTTTGTAACAGCCAAAACGAATCGAGATAGATATAGACAAATGTATACATATATGCTCAGAATGAATAGAGAAATCGATTAAGCCATGTCTGTCTGTCCGTCCGTCTGTCCGTCTGTCCGTCCGTCCGTGTACATGATAACTCGAGCCCACTTATGGTTACATGTGTATATCTTGGTAACCGCTGCACCAATTTCTTCCAAACTTGGCACAGTTGTTGGCCTCGATACAGCATACTAAATGGCCGAAAATTTTAAAAATCGGACAATAACCACGCCTACTTCCCATATAACGGTAATTTCCAGAAATACGAAAACTGCGATATTTTAGTAACTACTGAAGATAATTCACTCAAAATTGATATTTGTAATAATTTTCAGACGAAAAATAAGAATATTATAAATTTTTGGAAAATGGGCGTAGCCACGCCCACTTATGGTTACATGTGTATATCTTGGTAACCGCTGCACAGATTTCTTCCAAACTTGGCACAGTTGTTGGTCTTGATACAGCATACTAAATGGCCGAAAATTAAAAAAATCGGACAATAACCACGCCCACATCACATATAACGGTAATTTTCAGAAATACGAAAACTGCGATATCTTAGTAACTACTGAAGAGTATTCACTCAAAATTGATATTTGTAATAATTTTCAGACGAAAAATAAGATTATAAATTTTTGGAAAATGGGCGTAGCCACGCCCTTTTATGGTTACATGTGCATATCTTGGTAACCGCTGCACCAATTTCTTCCAAACTTGGCACAGTTGTTGGCCTTGGTACAGCATACTAAATGGCCGAAAATTTAAAAAATCGGACAATAACCACGCCCACATCCCATATAACGGTAATTTAGAGAAATACAAATTCTTCGATAAATCAGTAACTATTAACGCTAATTTATTCAAAATTGATGCTTGCAATGGGCACCGCCCACTTATGATAACATATACGTATATCGGTAACCGTTATACCAATTTGTACCAAACTCGGTACGGTTATTGTGCTTGCCACATAAAAGCCAATTATTAAAAATTATTGAATTCAGGCTAAAATTACGGCCGCTTTTCATATAACGGTAAATTTCAGAAATGCTTGAAACTGCAATATTTCGAAATTTAAGGACGCTACTCAAAATTGGTACACCCTGGTTTACCATCTAGCGGTAGCTTTCGGAAAGGTGAAAAAA